GCGCCCACGCCCCGCGCCCACGCCACCGGCGTAGCTCTTTTCGCTGGCTAGATTGCGCTATGACCTCCGCCAAGCAAGAGAAAGCGCCGCCTTTGCTGGAACAACCAAGTCGGAACAACCTGAATAAAAGTGGTTAAAATTAGCCGGGCGCCGCAGCGTGTGTGGTTACGGCGGCGGTAGCCAACAGTTGCAGGGTCTACGTGATAGAATCTCTCATGGATACGATTGCTTCAGCGTTGAGGCACGGTGAGGTTTGACTTAACTACCATGTGTTACCTTTAATAAGCCCACCCGTTCCCAGACCTCTCCCGGGCTGAATGTTGTGTGAATGTGGCTGCTGGCGCACCAGTGGGGAAGCTTCGTAACGGGCTTGAGGGCCGCACCGTGAGCGCCACTGGCCGCCAAACCCCCTCCATGTAAAAGGGTGCAAGAGCTGCCTCGGGCTTAAGAGACACAGCGGCAGGCGTCAATGTCCGGCCGCAATGAGCTAACAAGCTACTATAGGCGCCGGTCCTGTTGGCCGAGATCAGTAAGGCAGTAGTGCCGTAGCGATCTCGGACCGAAGGTTCGCGGGTTCGAGTCCCGCCTCGGGAATGGTTGTATTGTGTTCGTCCTTTCACCCCCTATCATCATATCGTGTCATCCTCATAGTTACCATAGGGTAATTAGGGTAGATATTACGGGAAGATTAGCAAGTCAACTTCCCCCAAAATAGTTTGTCATAAAAATTCATCAAAGTCGATGCACAGGCAGCGGCAATGCTCAGAGCTAGACTCAGCCAGTACGTTTCAAGCGGGCCTCAGCATAGGGGGCGAGGAGTTAAAGGAGGAAGGGGCATTTTCCTCATCACCGATTAATTATTTCATTACTGGCGTTTCAACTGCTATGACCACCAGCACCGTAAGTGTAGTACATTTTTATGATGAGGATGGTTGTGTTTTTCCTCCTCTGAATGGTGAGATCCGACGCCGGCTTAGACAACATCCTTTCCCACCCAGATCTCTCCACCCGTGGGGAACCCCCAGTCGCGACAAACTCTTGTCCCACAAAATGTGACAGTGCAGTACATTAAAGAGACGTGTAAGTAAGGGGAAAAGAAGTGTAAGGACAAGGAAGAGGAAGGAAAGATTGCGCGCGGTCCGTGGCTGTTTTAAGGGTACTGCTTCGGCATTCGGTGTTCATCGGATAAACCACGGAAAACTAACGATCTGGATGCCTGGATTCTTCCCCAGACAGCGGCCGAGTACAATCTAGCTTTCTAACTAGTGTCGAAAATCTTCCCATCCTCGGGACTGGAACCCTAGGACCTCGTGGTCAGAGGCACTGCCGTGACGTCAATTGATGCCGGGAACCACCTCAGCCGGTTCTTCAGGGCCATGCTGCGCAAACATTGCCTTTTACAGAGTTACAAAACGCACAAGCGCTCCCGTTTTGAGAGTATCTGCGATGAGTTTCTTAGATATTTACCTTTATTACCTCATTACTTTATTTCACTGGACCCAATATTTTCAGATCTATTCTTGTCTAAATGGATCGTTGCTAACTGTAAACATAATTCATCTATTTATGTATATGGATTTAGGTTATGATTCCAGAGCTCAAACTGCACATATTCCACTTTCACAATAGTGCGTCATACAGTTTTTAACCTGTTTTTGACATTAAACAAAATAAAAGCACTCTTTATTTTCTCAAAAGGAGTTGTGACGTCCTTCTATCAATTACGGTTTTTACTATTGCAGAAAAGGTTTAATGAACTTTTTGACATAGATATGAGCGCAAAAACCAAACACGATAAGCAAACACAGAGGGTATATTCGTATTGAATGTACGACCAGCTGATGCAATCTGCTAGATAAATGATCGACGTTCCATTAAAATTGCTCCTCGTAGTAGGTTTTCGCTCATCGCTGTAGGTTGCACCTCGTGGTGTTCTTGAAAACGAAGTTGCGACCAGAAGAGAGGGCTGTTGGAGAAACTTGTCTAGGCCCCTTACTATATTGTGGCCCAGAACATTCGATTCCAAACACATAAAAAATATAATTACTCCTAATTCAAACTAACCGCTAATGAATGCTGGGAAAAATTACGCATCGGCTTCTCAATAAAAAGTAATGTTAAATGAGTAGTTTGTCATAATTTATAATAAATTTATACGTTTTTTTTAAATTTTCTAAAAAGGTTATTTTCTTGAATCAACAAAACTGAAGAAAATAAATAACTAGTTGAAATATAATTAACTTAGGGAATAGTAACTTAGGAAGTATAATTAACTATATTTGGGGGAAAACTTGTTTGAAACAAGAAACCTCGTGTATCTGTTGCCCCGATCTCTTTTCTCTAGGTGACCCTGCAAGAATAACGAATACTGCAAAGACGTACTTTTCTGACACAAATTTCGGTATTAGGTATTGAAGTAATCGATGAGGGGGGATTCTTGATAATTTTTACTCATCTTTCTCCCTAATTATCTGTATTCAAAAAATAAATCGCCCGATATGAAGTTCCTGTACGAATTTCATTAAATATAAGTTTAAAATGTCACTCTATGAAACAAGAGGTCTCCTACCCGTCGACTCGCAGGGTTTTCCCCAACATCTTCCACCAGCGTGGCACCCACCCAC